GCTTTTTTTATTGCGAATTTTCAATAGAACTGCATATAAAGGTTCGTAAGAGTAATTATTAAAAAAGAAAGAGTACGTTGATCAATACTTATACAAAATAATATTTTACAACAATTCACATTTTTTTGCTTCTGCATGGAGTATAAAAATACCCCAGGTGACTATTCCAGTTAAAAATGTGCCGAAAAAGAGATATTCGATGCCTATCCATTTCATGTTTTTATAGTTAATCGATATATATATAATACACACTGTTAAAAATAAAATGTTATTTTTAATTTAAAGACGTATAGTGGATTTTTTGAGGCTTGCAAAAATGTTAAAATTAACATTTTGGTCTCAGATACATATAAAGAATAAAAAGGTAAAATTAATTCCTTTAAAGCGGAATTAGCAATTTGTACTGGAATACGGCTATAGGTACGTTTAAACATTGCGCTAGGAATCTGCCATCAAAGAGTATTAGTCAATCGCTCTTTCTATATAAGCAGGCGGAGATTACTCAGTCGATGTGTAGTTCATACGGTTAACGAGCTGACCGCACAAGACACCCACGGTTGATCCACATGCCGACCTCGCCGACGTTCGGACTCTGATCTTGCATTTGTGGCCAATCAGCAGCTTTGGTATCAAAGGACCTGGAGTCGGTAGAATGGTAACGTTTGCAAGACGCGTAATTATTCCAATATAATTATCTAAGATCTTACCATAACCATAATTGCTCGTTTCTTGTCTTCTCCGCTTCCGTAGTCACATATAATTTCCCTTGACGTAACTATTGCAAATTATCAAAATAATATCAATGAAATACGCTTGGGATGCAGCGTCGTAAGCTCCATGACGTAATAATTTAAAGCTACGCGTCGCTTTTTAAAAATTTCATAATGAAAATAATAATTGCGATACTCATAACAGGAATTCATAATAATTCAAGTTGTATGCTATACAACAATACGCTTCACGTAGGAAAGAGCGTATGGCTTGTCAGCGGAATGCATTTAACTCTGACACGCACAGCGCTTTAAACTCATCAGCTTTTACATGGGATTTCAAATGACTCGCAGGAGGTTTCAAACGAAAAACGCAAGTCAGTTGGTCAATCCATTAGAAGCATTTCGTTCGAGAGTTGCTGCGTAATGCTTGCGATTCGACTGACTTGCATTACACATGCATTGCCTCAGGAAGCATATGCCGCCGACTTATGACATTCCTTCTCTGTTCCTTTACTGAAATCCATCGCTCACGGTTTTAAAATGCAGGATTCTATTACTATAATGCGGGATCTTATTATGAACGGGAAAAAAACGTGAATAAACGTTTCTTACGTACAAAAGAAAAATACGGAAATTTCATTAGTAGAAAAAAATGGCAAACAGAAAGTCGCGGGTTTGCACATACGTGACAAAAACTATTAGCACCCTTTTACATTGTGTTTCTATTTTTTAGTAACCGTTGGGTTCACGAGAGTACTTTTCGGAAACGCGTTTTTGCCACATCCCTTTGTTGTCGCCTGTGTACCGACACTCAGTTTGCACGAATCCCAAGTGCCGTAGAATGGTGCGGGATGTTGTTGCGTTGTTTGACGACTGCAGAATCTGAACCGCGAGTCGTAACTACCAAGTTCCATATAAAATTGCCCGATAATGACCGACAGTGGTTTCGGATTGACGGCCGGCTCTTTTATACCTATGCTCATACAAACACGTTTTCATTCGTTCTCATCCGATCCCTGTCATCGGTTTGTCCACCCAACCCCGGGGTTTTCGCATATGTCCGTGTTTGTCAGTCTCGTAATTTTATAAGCAATAACCGAACGCGAGTGCGACAGGTTTATGGGTTGCTCGCCGCGATCCTTACGCCCTTGCATTACGGCTGCCAGGTGCGGTCAGGGCTTTTTATGCATAGGTACGTGTTTTACGAGGCACGAGCTCTCCTTATCACAGTCCACGTGTAGACAGGAAAATAAAACGTAATTCCATGGCAAAGAAAAAAAAAAAAGACAGAGAGAGAGAGAGAGAGGGGGGGAGGGAGGGAGAGTTACATGGTCGTGCGACTTTTAGAGATACGTTCGCTTATCGGATATATGACCTGGCTTAGGTCGAATTGTGGTTCTGCATAGTGACCTGCAATTCTTTTGGATTTTTGTATAAAAGTTGAGAATAAACAAAAGTGAATTCATGTATTTTAATAAAATCTTAGATAAAGTTTTATATTAATTACTTTAATGCTAATCTAAATTGAATTTTGAAGTAACTATATTGCGCATTTGTCTCTCAAAGTTAAAAATTTCAATTTATAAAAAAAGACAAAAAATAACACGCGTTTTCTACGTATTATATTTAGATACTGTTCGTGACGATGAGTCAGTGTCGACCGACGTCGCGACGAACACGAATAATAGTGTACTAGGAGTCTAGAGTCATCGATTGACATGTGCTACGTACTTTGTATGTACGTCAAAGAACAAATATAGCGCTAGTTCATAAGCATTCCTATTTTTATGTCGTTACAACGGAAATAATACCATATTTCTTATGCACTATCGCAAGTGTGGCAATTCCCAGGACAATCCGATTTTATACTCTCGAGTGTTCAGATATAGCACCTTAGACCTCATTTCCTCATCAGAATAGTCGTAGTGTAGCATTAATGCGGTCTTACGTATCATATTTAGAATCTGGCTGGCAATAAGTACCAGGAAAAGTTCAAAGCGTATTAACTTTTCTTTCTAAACCGCATAACTATATTCACAAACTTTGTGTTCCATAAATAAAAGTGTCTGTCTTGACATGAATGATAAGTGTGATGCAATATCATCTACAAGTGCGATCAGTGCTTTAAACCATTTTTTTTTCTTAGTCGATGTTAAAAAAGCAGGTCTGTTATTATTTAACGCGGTTAGATATCAAGCATAGCTTAAAGAAAATTATAACTGTTCTGAGAAAGAGATACATATCATATGCGGTATACACATGTGTATTGTAATACGCGTATATGTTTAAACATTCTTATCATTATTTTAATAACATCGCAATCTTTAAACACTTGGCTATCTTTTGCATATGTGACATCACCTATCTTATCTACTCGCATAAAACATTTAACCTCGAAAAACATGATTTACAAGATTGAATTAGTAATTTCACAAATAGTAATTATAATAAAATATAAACTAATAATTTTTCTAAAAAAAATATCTGCACGGAAAGAATAGTTTTTGTTGAAATCTGAAAATTTAACTATAGATGCAAATTCGAAAATAATTTTCGATCAATGATCTAATTAAAAAATTTGGGGATTATTAATATTTCAAATTGATTATTTTGAAAAAGTCCAAAAGTAAAAAATCGGCGCATAGTCATTTCTAAAATAAATAAAAATATATATGTATTAAATATATTAGTCCAACATCTAATTTTAACTAAATATTACTTGAATATTTAGTTGATTTATTTATATAAACGGAAGATAATTATTATGTAGAAAGCTTAAGCGTTAATGAGAATTCTAATAACTAGTTCGAATGTTCTACATAATTATTTTGTTGATTTAAACAAAATTATTGTCAAATCTGTATCTAGGAAAATTATTAGATACTTTAGCAAACCTGTTCTTTCTGTATGTAAAAATAACGTATTTTTTCATAACTAAAATTGCTCTAATATTATATGTTTCTAATGTTGTCCCACAACTACAATTTTTACATATAAAAATTGCATATGTATTCTGTCTAGTCCACAAATACAATCTTTTCGCGGCCTGTCTTCGTTTATGACAGAACTGAGACAGCGTGACAGTACTCGGCGCGGCTGAGTATATCCTCCATATATTCAAGTATTCGAAGTAGTCGATTCTTCGCTTATACATCGGCAACAGAGGATTGTCAAGAGAGCGCTGATCGGTTCTCCCCGATGAAACGTAATCCATTAAAACGTAATCAATGAAGGGCCGCCACGTAGAACTGCGAATTACGCTTCTCCCTACTGCGCGTAGTTTTCAGAAGCGGAAACTGCGGACGAACTAGGTACTTCAGCGTGGCTTCACGAGTAATGCGACTGGAACGGGGAGGAGGTAGAATAAGTAGGTTAACGAAATGGTCGTTCGCAAGCTTGAGATACCGCCACCAATTTCCAGTGGTCCTCAACTCGATTCGAAAGTTCCTCCTAACAGGGGATACCCCGTGCTAGAATGCGCCACGAAGCGACAACAATTTTCCAGTCGGTTGTTCCTTCTCCGTGTCGCCATGCATGCGCAAAATGTACTTTGTACGTAAGCCTCGGAAATAGAAGATGTTCCTCTCCGTTTCCCCGTACCTCGTGCCAGTTGTCCCGCGTTGCTCTTTGGAAACGATCTCTCCGAACTCCAACCAGCGAAGATTCCGCCTCGTGCCTCGAAGAAATGTAAAAAAAAAGGGGCGAATTATCGGGAGTCTTAAAGGGAAGCGAAGCAGCTTGATTAGCGCATACAAGAAAGACATTCCATGAGTGAATTCTTCGCGGTCCGTTTTTACTCGGGAACGTTGTCGCGTTTCGCTTCGGCGCTAATTGCATTACTATCGACACTTCTTCCAGATTCCTTCCTTAACGCTCGCATCGTTACGACTATCCCTCTTACCTGGTATCGCAATTTTCAAGTACCATGGATGACGATTGACGAGAATATAATAATTAGCGAAATAATTAGTAATTAATTATTTAGTTAATAATTAGTTAGCAACTATAATAACAGTTAGAAACTAAAGAATATAATTAGAAAATATAATTAAATACGTAATAAAGACGAACTTCTCTGATTCATAATAGGGAAACATGAACAATAACGACTGTTTTTTTTAATAGAGTGTTATCAATTGACATATTTTATCTGTTATTTAAAAAATTAAAATTTATCACACACAAATAACTTATGTTCTACGATTTTATATATAAATATATATATATATGTAAGTTTTTTTATAGATAAGTGTATAAGTTTGTGAAAATTTAAAGAAAAACATGCAATTATATCAATTACATTGATTTATTGATGATGTACAAGACAATTAAAGTGAATAACCAAAATATTCAGTGATATATCTTTTTTCAATGGCAATGGTGACAGTGTTGAAATAATAAATAGCTCAGAATATGTTAGATTGATGTAGCTTTAAAATTGCTTATTTTACTTCTCCGTCGTAATTGTATCATAGAAGTAGCTGCTTTCATTGTAGCTAATTAAAATCGTGCATACACATTAAAGATGAAATTAATGCCATGACCTCTCAGACTCTTCCATCTCAGGGTGACGTTGCTGTGTCCAGGTCCACCATTCAAAATACTAGCTTGCGCGCCGTTTCCGTTCGTCTTTTGGTCCAATGCTTCAATTAAGGTGATACGTTCATACCTCGAGACATTGAAGGTTTTTTCAATAATTTGAATCTTCATCCAGCTAGAATTCTTGATGATGTTCTCTTTAAGGACAAGCTTATCACCGGGCATCCTGTAGCCGACGATTAGATGATTCGACTTATTGTTATTAGCATAGGAAGTGACAGCTCCATTGGCACAGGGTACAGTGGTGATGGTCAACAGAGCGGCGACCAGAACAGCCAGACCGATTATGTACTTGTATGCTGACATCTTGCCTTATTTCGAAAACCGCGTTACTATTGTTGCAAGAAAGCTACTTGGTATCTGTCGACATAACGGGCGATCGGTGCTTAAATAGATGGAATAATCGCTTATCACTCGGCTTATCATGATTATATCGCTGATATCTCACCTTGTTCTGGAAAGGTACATTCTGCGAAAGAATCATTTTGATCAATACGAACTCGTCACAACATGTTCAAACATTTCTCGCTATTTTATATAATAGAGAGAGAGAGAGAGAGAAAGAGAGAGAGAGAGAGAGAGAGAGAGAGAGAGAGAGAAGAGTAATCAGTATTATTTTTAATATGAAATTTTTACCATAGCGCACTAATGAACTTATCGCTTGTTTTTTATTAATTATTTTATAATATCAATTTTATTATGAGTAATTTTATATTTGGTAAGAAATCATTAACATTTAATAATAAAAGGTACATCAATTTATTATCATAAATTAAATTCAAAGCAACTAGAAACATGATAGCATATGCATATACTGACCGATATTCCCTCTATGATACATAATGGACAATTATTTTAATTAGATCTTTAATTAGATACGTCGGAGATATTGCAATCATTATTACTCTTCTATCGGGTGTATGATTCATCGAGAGTGTGTAGATTACACATGAGTTGGTATCAATATACTAAATCAATATTTGTATCTCTTAAATGTTATGAAACCTTTAAGAGAATCATATCTCAATTGTCTCATTCTATCTTCGGAATTGATACAATTCACAAAATAAGACGTATACATAAAGCTAATAGCTTTTCAGACGTTGACGATTATTATTATTGTGAATGATGAATCGTCATGAAAAATATTTGATATGGATTTAATAATAGCGATGAGAGAAACTACAATGCCGGTGTATTCTAATGATCTATAATATCATGTATACTGTATAAACATTGCACATACATGTGAAATTTAATGTATCCTCGGTAGTCTACGTAGTAATATTTATACATTCAATAATTATTATTAAGCATTTCACGTATATATATGTATATATCATTGTATTAAAATATATTTTAAATATTTAAAATATGTTTTTATATATATACATATACAATAGTGTATAATATACACTATACATATATGCAGCGTTGGCAAACGTTGCTTTTCAGTTACTTTGTCGTTACTTTTTATAGTAAAGAATTTGATGACGATGTTGCAATTTTTTATAATGGTAACGCTAACTAACTAAACGTTAAGGTTGCACTAAGGTTAGAAAAGTCACTTTGAAAAGTAACTTGTCACTATTACGCGTTACATTGAAAAAGTTATAAGTATAACGAGTAACGCGTAACGTTACGTGTCTCGTTACTCCACTGGATATAATTTTGTAGGATATCAAAATCATCATGATTTAAAAAGGGCTTTTTTTAAACCGGAAATGACAAAAATGATATTTGATCATCTTTCTAAAAATGTATTCTTCTGCCGATATATTCTTTTTGTGAAATTATTTGAGTAGAAACATTAATAATTTTCTGTTAAGTTAAAAAATTTTCCGCTTTTCTAAAAAAATTTAATTTTTGAATTGTGTTATTTTTAAAATAAGAGGACAATATAAATGTCACAATAACAAATAACAGTACATATTTGATATTGGTATTTTATAGGAGTTAGAAAATAAAATATAAAAAATAATTACACCCACTACAATTTGTACTTTATTAATAATCTTTTATTAAATTTGCGTTTTACTTTTTATTTCGTGCAAGGAAAAGATATATACTTTGAGAAGTTAATATTATATTTTGATCTTTTGCAGCCAATTTTCCAAATATGTGAAGCTGTCCAATTGCAAGGATCACAGCTGCTTTGTCAAGGCTGTTGGAGACTGTTTGCTCAGATGCTTGTTAACCGTGTGAACATCCAATATGTTACCTCGTGTGTGCACTTAGGTCCTGCATCGAGAATAGATTCACTCGAATCATTAAGTCAATTGGTGAATACACGATAACGAATATTAGCTATAACGGCTTCAAATTCATTCTTACCGCATATTTATTAAAAATCGTACGTACGTATATACGAATGATATCAGCTTATAAATTATCTATCGTAAAGAAGAATATTGTTGCTTGTTGCATTTTTAACGCAGCTATTGTTAATTAAAAAACTGCCTTAATAAAAAGAAAACAATGAGGGCAATTAATTATATCGTAAGTAAGTATTCAATAATGTTTGTATACGAAGTTAATTGTACTTTATTAATTTATACTCCGATAAAAAGATGAGTTTATACTGAAATCCATTATTACATGATAAATCTCCATAAATATTGTAGTATCGAATTTTTTTGCAGGTAATTCGAGAAAGTAACTTATTCGAAGTTAATACACTGTCAAAAGAAATTTGTGACGCTTCGGTAAACTTTTAAAACTTGTATGGTTTGCAGGTAGTGGTGTGAATTAAGTAGCTAAAAAGAACGTTTCGATTAACGATTGGAGATGTTTTAGTCAACAAGAGATTATTTTGAAGATATCGTAAATCGTATTTTGTCTGATCATTCTTATCCAGAATTTTTCATTCGCTAAGCAACTTTAGAATGAACGTCTGCTCGCAAATATGTGTTTCACGTACACTAATGTATACGGATACCTGCCGTCTCCGCCTAACGTTAATTTACTGCAAACCACGTCCTGTTGCCCGTGAATGGGACCGGGGATGCTAGGAAATAGTCCAATGGGCAATGAATGCGAGCTTTACCTTGCTCTCTGCGTTTTGGCATGTGGAAGTTTGCCTACATGAGTCTCTCTCTCTCTCTCTCTCCCCTTTTTCTTTTTCTTCTCCTCTCGTCTCTGTACGTAGCTCTCGTCCTTCCTTAATCTTTGACACGCGAGCGCGTGTGCATGTGCGTGCCTATCGCGTCATGCATACTTATGCACTCGCACAGATGAACGATATAAGCGGATAATACTGAGGCGGTGTGCCCTGGCGACTTCACCTTCCTTTCTATGTACGATCGGACGCCGCGCCAGGATGCAAGTGCACTCGCATTATTCATTCAACGTACAAACCTTGCGAACGCGGGACTGGCCCGATCCCCGTGGCACCTGTCTTTAACTGTGGCAAGGCACAGTTAAAGTCCGTTCGCGCAGTCCACCTATCACCGCTGTACGATGCGCTTGCCATTAATTATCTGGGTATATGCTTCGAAGATTTGAGGCAAAAGCCGACTTCGGTCGTCTTAACGAGCCGCAGAACTCTCCGTCGATCGGGAATCGATGCTAACAGTGTAGTATTGAACTCTAACCAATACCATTAAAGGTACGGATTGGGACAGATTTTGTATCGTTTGAGAGATTAATTTAAGGAAAGGTTCTCTTCGGAGGAACTTTATTACAAAATGTGTTTAGTTACACATAATTCTCTTAATAGATTTAGAAGATTAAACTTAATATTAATCTTAATATTAAACTACACTTGAAACTGAATAAATTTTAATCCTTGTTAAATTTAATCTTAAAAAATGTATTTTCGAAAGATAAATTCTTAAATGAGTTTTCAAAATATTATAAAATATTCAGAGATGCATAATTTTATATTATAAATATAAATTGAGAATTATAAATCGAGAATAAATTAGCTTTGTTTAATGAACTTAATGAATGACGAAAATATAATCCTATAAATATTTTTGTCAAACAATATTTATAAACATGTTTATCAAAACGTGTATTGTTGTCTTTATTTAAGACAAAGAAGTCTTGTCTAATAATAATAAAGATCACAACAAATTTACCTTTTTAAAAAAAAGGTAAAAAAAAGGTGCCAAATGTGTGTGCTCCTCTCAGAAAAAATTGTTACATAAATTATTATACGCAAATATGTGTGGTCCTTGAAAAAAAAATGACTTCCTATTCCAAATCTATTTTCCAAACTATGAAAGTATATAATAACAATTCTTTTAAACAAATATATGAAATCTTTAAATTGCGCCATTTATAAACAGAAAATACATTTCGTTAAAACACTAATGTTACATATTTAACTACTTTTAAACAAAAATACATGAAAATAAGAGCATCTAATTGAAATAAAAAAATTTTAATATAAAAAACTTGGCGCCACCTAGCAAACTTGGCTTGGTCTAATTACGCCCACTGCGATATTAACCGTATAAAAATAGAGGCCAACTAAAATTTTCACTCGGGTCCAAATGACCCACTCATGTAGTTGAGAGTCAAATGTAATTATTTTTTAAATGCTATGAAAAACATACTGAAGATGAACAAATGAGAAAATCAAAACGTTTATATGAAGATTAGATAACTTGCACAAAGACCTTGCGTTTGGCTTTTATGCTCCTATTTTTTATTTTAACTATTGTCATTTATACTGCTTATATCATACTTATCATTATAATCACACTAAAATTGCAAGATCTTGGATCTTGTGTCACGAAACAATATTTACGGCCGACGCTCATTAAAAATAAGATATCATCAAAGTCAGAATAAAATAACAAAAATCATAACACATATTAGATTTATTTTTAAAAAATGAAAAAATATTCAACTTTATGAAAGTCATCTTTAGATGTGATTTTTTAAAGATTTTTGTTGAAATCATTAAAATAGTTAAACACGCAATATATAACACACAAACATTTTCAAAGGATATTATCAAGCTGTGTGTACATATATATATATATATATACGTATTGTGACCGTACTCGCGAGTGACAGCACAACTTCGTCGCGTTCTCTATTAGATTTTACGAATCGAACTGTATATTACTTCAAGAATCGTGAATTAATCGGATCTTTAGTAAATCTTCATAAATTCTCGCTAAAGATGAGTTGGGCGCCAGACATGAAAGAGCGTGCCACTCTTTTGTTAATTTTCAATTATCACTCTCAATATTCACTCTCAATTATTAATCGCGACGGCGGAATCCGGCTGCACAGCCACGAAATGGTAGAGGACGGTTCGTTACAGGCTGAAAGAACTGCGCACAGATTAATGAGAACAATAAAGTAACCAATATATTCTGTCAATATCACAGTACAGAGGATCATCTAGTTCAGTCTTCGAGCCGGCTGTTATCCGAGGCTTGGCACCCGCGATGGGGATAACACAATCCGATTCTATACGCGTCGATTAAGCTATTGCCGGATATTAACGGTGAATAAATGAGACACAAATACTTTACAATTAAGGGCGTATCATCAGTATGCGAAAGTTTGACTAATCGCCAATGACAAGATGACGTGGAAAGATAATAGTTATGCGACGCTGAATATTTCTTTACGCGAAGACTCGAAAATGACTCTTAAGCCACGGATCTACGCAGGCCGCCCTCTAATCGAGTCCATGTCATGTACCGATTGGCTCTTAATAGTCCCGCGGTCCCGCGAATCGCACAGGTCCTTGCGGGTCGCAAATCCTTGCGCTTTAGAGCGTGTAATATAATTTGAAAGGACACTTCAATGTTGTCCGCAGCCTCCTTGCTATTCGAGCTGGCTCAGAAAGTCCAAGAAAGCTCCGCCACAGCGGCTCTTCTCTCTTCTCACGTCGTAGTGGCTTTTCCTTCTCCAGTTGGCGGTGAGACGACGAAAATACAAAAGAAAAGTGGTATAATCACCGATCACAGTCCTTTGTCGCCAATAAAAATCTAGATTCGGAACTATACTAGAAAAGTAACTTATAATAAGCGAATTAATATAGAAATAAGTAATTAGCGCACGCTCGTATGTGCGCTCGCCCTTCGAGCTGAGAGGACGTAAGATCCCAGCGGAAATGCCGCCAACGGTGACTAACAAAAATTGTCACGTTACTTTATATATATATATATATAAATATCACATAGGTGGTACTTACTAGTCGGTAAAAATAATAAACAACGAAGCAAGCGACAAGATCTATGATTAAGTTTTATCGTAAAAAACCTTGCAAATTATCGCAAAAGCAAAACATTATAATTGCATTATTGTTCAACTTAATAAGTTTCGCGTCAAATCCTGTCGCTAATTGCGCAAAACCATGGTAATAATCGGAAGTAGCATTATTATAAGTAGCAAGGATGGATCTGCTGTTTTTTTCCGTGAATGGACACATAAACACGTCACGGATTGTGAGATCTATATAAAAGCGAAGAACGAAGCTGATCTCCAACTAGTGTACGTGAGCATCAAAGCGAATCACGATGATTAAGTTGTTCCTCATTACGTTGCTTTGCATGGCGATGGTAAGAAGTCAATAATAGCTCATTTATAGTCTTAGAATGAAGCAATATAAATTAGACATATTATTAATATTATCTATCAATAGGAATATTATATAAATTAAATTAATATATTATATTATAAATATATGAACTCGCGTTTTAAAATAAATATTAAAGTCTCAATTAAAGTCAATATGAAAGAAGGATGTTAAAAAAATACGATTTCTGCCTAAAAAAGGTGTAAGCAAGATCGAAATAGTGTTTTTTGTAAATTTTGATCTCCTGAATATGATAAGATTATTAAAAAAATCGTAGTGTTTGAGGAACGTTTCAAAAATTAAGTACGGACTTGGTATATTTATTAAAATTTCAATGTTCTCGCTTAATTTTTTAGGTATTCCATAAATGTCATTAACTTTTTAATTTTAGCATATTTAGAAAGCGTTAAAATTTATAAAAAACATTATTTCCTTTATTTATATCTTTTTAGGCAAAAATCGGAGGATTTAATATCCTTCATTTTTCGGAAGATATTAAAAAAGGGCCAATTTTTGGCTCTAAATTATAACAATAAAATTATTAAAAATTTCATGACATTTGGAGGACACCTCGAAAATTAAACAAGACTATTGAAAAATAAATATCATATTTGTGTTCAATTTTCGATGTACTCCCTAAACGCTACAAACTTTTTAATAATTTTATCGTATCCAGAAGATCAAAATCTATAAAAAATATTATTCTTTTTGTTTACACCTTTTAGGCAGAAATCGGCCCTTTTTAGAAACATCCTCCTTTCCCATTATATACAAAATAAATCATATATCAATAAATGTTTAAAAAGTTTTCATCATATATCTTTTATAATATAATGAGAAAAATGAAAAGAAAGAAAATACATAGGGATTTTTATTATCGAAAGCAGAGAAGGCAAATATAAATAATATTTTTTAAAATTATGCTTTTCCAAATAATTTTTGGAAAGCACATTTTTCGAAGCATTTGATTAATTTCTCGAAATAATACCAATTATTTAGAGTTGCATAATTATAGCATTACTAATATTTCATTATTAATATCGCCTAATATGATCATATTTATAACAAAACATTCGACTGCCTTTTCAGTTCGCCGATTCACAACAAGATCGAAGGAATGAAGTGAGTATGACTGAATGTTTTGTAATTTCTCGCGGAATTATGTCAGAAAAATTTGACAAGTTTTTCAATTTACATTTTGCATATGAATATAAATAATTTTTTCGAACTCTCGTCAGATAATTTTTGCGATGAGATAATTTTTATTTAAAGATGGGGACAGGACTAAGGAAAACAAGCGCTGATATGGCTGAACATGCTATGACAGGTCAAGGTAGTCCTTTATTAATGCAACATGTGGCACACAGTGGGCGAGGTCCACCAGGACAGGGTCCATCAGGACAGGGTCCACCAGGACAGGGTCAACAAGGACAGCGTCCACGGGGTCCACCACCTGAATCACAGGAATCACAGGAAGAGGAAGAGGAAAAATAGGAAAATTTGGTAAACATTTTTCACACAAATTAAGAATCGCGATCCATTGACGGATTCATTAATAATATTTAATTTAATTCTATAGATAATATTTTCATTTCATTGATAGTAAATTAATATCATACTTAATATAATATTAATCGTGTAAAACGTTAACACATAACGCGATTTATTCCATGTAAGATAAATAAAATGAAAAATATCCTACTAGTTTTAATTAAAATTTTTATGATTTAAATTTAATATAACATATAGAAATATAAATTTATATATAAATATAAGGATAAGAATAATAAGAATTTAAAAAGTTAAATCGACTTTAGATGATTTGTAAGTCATAAATAGAATTATTATTCATACTACAATAGAACTAGCAAAGCAGTCAAAGTAATTAGTTGTTAATCAAATTCATAATGGCACGTTTTCTAAAATTGTTCGTTACTTTTATTGGAATATGTATTATAAATGATTAAATTGATCAATGCACTTCTCTCCTTTATATTCTTTAAAAAGTACATAGCATAATTATATACAGATATTAATTCTCGATAATTCTAGTATTAAAAAATAATGTGAATGTCACAAGGATTTAATTTTGTGTATTTATTTCGCAGGTCTCTTCTGGATATACGATTCTGGATGTATCGTTATGAAATAACATAACAACAGATAAAGATTCGGCCGGTTGAAGGTTAACTTTCCCTCAGCACTATAGATATCACGTGTTTTAAAAAAAATTATTCGCACTGTTAAAAAAACACTCCGATAATTTTAGAATAATAAAGCTTGTCATTGCAGTAAATTTTTTATTATTATTTAAACCGATTCTCTGATCTAGCAGCGCCAAGTGTTTACTTCTTTAATTTTTTGTGGTAACTTTTTGAATGGTCAAGGTAACGCAGTTATATAATAGATTGTATTTTTTATTTAATTTGATGTAGGATTTAACTCGGCGCCATTTGTTATAAAATTTAGAAAATGGGTAGATGTGTAGCACTGTTTTACAACAATTCTTCATCTAAGACTCATTTCATATTTACGTTGATGAAATATAATGTTTATGATACCTAAAATTAGTGTGATTCAAATATAATATAAACGGGAATTGACAAAACCTAGCGAGAGTCAATAACTGGCTATATGGTGTGACTTTTATCATAGACTCTCTATTCATAAAATCAATGAACTTTTTCTAAATTAATTCTCTAATGTTTAAGATGTTATAGAAAAAAATATTAGCATTAAGAGAGATAGAAAAATTTTTAATTTAAAAAAGTTAATGAATTAAAGTTTAAAAGTAAGTAAATTAAGTTAAAAATTAATGCATTTAAAATTAATTATGTTGAGTTAAAAGTTATTAACTTTTTAACTTTTTTTTAACTTTTAACGTTTAACTAGGTACTACTCAACCCTGATTCTAATAGTATCAATGTTATCTAAAAAATCAGACAAACCTTTAGTGTACGACGCGGGAGGGAGATAAAGGAGTGTGAACGGTAGGAAGGTCAGTCGTTAGGACAATTAGACGAACAGAAAAGTTCCATTGCAACCGTGTACCTTATTGGCCATTGTTACAAGAGTCGGAGTGACAGTTACTAGTTTTCTCCATTACTCAATACCGTTCGCTAATTCTCACAAATTAGCATATACGCGTCTCGCTCAGGGGTTGAATTTTATATTTGTCGCCAAAAAATTTACGGCTATAAAAGCCGTTATCATCACTTATTCATGCCATCAGGCCAGTACGCATCCCTGATAATAAGCACTTGACGATAAAGTACTTTAAACCAGTTCAGATAAAGAAGTGTACAAATGTGATTTTTCTAAAAGCTTATGTGTATATAATGTAATCTACTTAATATGACAAGAAATTAAAATGAATTCTTGATAAAAGAAAATAAACAATTATTATCTTTCTTTGTTAAACATTAATTACTGGCGAATATAATTAATCTGGCATTGATATCATTGACACGCAAAAAATTATACCGAATTATATAGGTTGTCCACTTCGAATTTTCGCCTTTCATCCATCATTTAAGCCTTTATATGGATAAGTATATTTATAATTTATTTTTATTTTCTGTTTTTCTACGTTGTGTAATTCTAATTATTTTCTATATAAATGTAATGGAATATGTTTGAAGGGATAAATCCGATTAAAATCACAATAGATTTACGACAATCCATTACATATATCAATGAATCGACAGATTATAAAGAGCCTGGGTGCATTAGACGCGTAGTTTCATGGCAACGGCCTTAATCCATAACGCATGTATTTGAAGCCTAATACGAGCATGTCATAAATCTATTATACGCCGAGGATACGTTACGGAGAGAAATCGGGCATCGGCTCGCAATAGTTTTGGTTTATGGAATTCTAATCGCTCCTGCGAATAACAGTTATGCAGTGTAGGTATGTCTACCTATGCGGGATTTGCATTCGCTGCCACACAATAAAGTTAAATAATTGAATGAACAGATTACAAAACTGAAACTTTTGCAGACCGATTCTATAATCGATTCACAGTTATTAAACTTTTTTTTGTCTGTAGTCCATTGTTTTTTTACAAGCTTATTCTTTTTAAAGTTACGATCGTTTCTTCTTTTATTTTTGTTGTTTGTGGTTTCTGAAATAAAATTTTCCTTCTGCTTTTTAACGATAATGAAACGTGAGAGTATGATTTGAGAGACTTTCGAGTGGCGCATAAAATTTTGCTAAACCTTCGATAAATGCTCGAACTTCGTGTCAATCTGAGAAAGATACAATTTTTCACTTCGTTTTCGTTAAGTTTTAACATCGTAAAGTTTTAAAAAATTTCTAATTTAATAAAAAAACATGAAATTTTTAAGGGTTTATCCTATAATAATATATTATAATAAGACAAAATCTGACGCATTAAAAAAGAAAATGATTTTGTTTTAATGTGATGCGTGACAATTTTCTACTTCACCTTATATACAATAAATTCGTATAAGAGTATATAAAAGAGCACTTAATATCTGTCCCACCAAAAGAATTGAAAAGAGGAAATAAATTAAACAATAAAAATGATAACGTCATACATTAACGACAATTTCACAATTAGATTAACAATTAATAAGCTGGCAGCATTTCCTGTTTCAAAAATTAAAGTTTATCTGACTCGGCATCAATATCCTCCTACTGTGACGCCAAAATTATCCTGCAGAAACTGTTAAATTCAATTTAACGTCTTTAATGGACAGTAAAGAATTAAAACTCGAAAATTCGATTTCCAGCATCAAAAGCGTGAATTACGGTCTGGAGAGCTTTTAAAGTTGAAATTCTTGATAGCACCTTGGCAACTGCCTGGACTAATCCGGAGAAAAGCTCAAGGTGCAACGACATCGATGTCCTTTCAGAGGGGTACACTACACGTGCACGCCGCCGTAAAATCGTCGAACGACGTCCCGGTGACCCTTCGTGGGCGCGAGTAATCCTCGTAGATTGGCGCGGCACAATAATTCGTCTCGTATCGGCCTCATGGGGCTGAACCCGGGGTGTTAAACGAGCGATATTTTTTCTCTGGAAATACCAGCATGGGTCGCCACTGCACCTGTCCTGCGATCTATCTAACGAGAAGAGTTTCGCACCAGTTTAGTGCGGCTTCCTTTCCATTCCCAGTTTCATTCTGCAAATACGGTAATCGTGGATCTCGATGCCTGTGTTCGAAAACAATAAAGAGATCGTCGCAAATTATTAACGTCATATTAATGCGAAACGGTCGTAATTACGGTATGAAAGATTATAAATTAATATTGGCATTCTTTATGATATATTATTGTCTTTATTTGATTGCTGTTTGATATAATTTGATACTTTCTCTACTTTACCGCTTCATCATTCTGTTTATCATAATCTATTATATATCATCGGAAGCAGTAACGTTTCCAAAGTGATTCGTGTCGACGCGATTCAATTCCTCTAGCAAGGACTGTATCGCCATCCTATCGTAGGTCAATGCTGATATTTTCTTTATATCTTTTATACGTCGCTGCTTTTATACGCTGTTAAAATGAACAGCCGCTGCGCGGCCGTAGTAAAACCGCAGTAAATCGATGTATCGTTGTGAAAACGACACCCAAGGCGTACGAGAGGATGAGCTGGAACATCGGACGCGTCGCGACGTCCGAATGTCGCGCTCGCGCGACGCTTATCTTGACACAAATGTGTCTTTTCCGGCGCGCAAGTGTTGCTTAGCGGAAAACTTGAGAACGTTGCAGTGTGCACCTGATATTGCACACACTCGGGATCTTGATTGTAAAATATCCACGACGTGAACGTGGCTCTTTATACAAACGTCTAGTTTACGGGACAGATTTCCGTATGTATATACGTACGTAGAGTTAATGATACATATCATAACAGAGGATCCCGTTTACATTCGCATGGTGGACGTTCAAATATTTAACAGCGTATATTTACTCAGACACGTTGCATTGTTGGTATAACACTCTGCGGCTGCGTTTGGCTCTTTGACAAAACGATCCCGCCCGGGTACTCTTTTTATTTGTACAATCCGCCAATTGCCCAAAGATATCGTCATTGAAATTCAGATACGTATCCAGCATTTCATGAGAGAGAATGAAACGTAAATGCGCGAGAACAGATTCAAGTTTTTCAATTTTTTTTTCTTTTTTAAAATCAATCATATAAGTACGTCAATTATATACGTATCTCATCTGAAAATTAACATTTGATAAAAATGTAGATTAAAATTTTATGAAGAATAAAAGTAATGAACTGTATAAACTGGATTAAAATGAATTTTTCGACATTTATAGATACATTTTTAAATTTATAATTTTTTGTTAAATATAATAACGGGAAAGTAACAACTTTGTTACCGGAATCGGATGCTGTAGCACGTGATGCGCCTAATGGAACATGGAAATGCATGAATAACTGTACGTGAATAACTGTACGTTTTTTATCGCGAAAAATGTCGAAAAATACGTCGCTGTAGCACGGTTAGAAATTAATCCGATATGTCACGAGATATATGTACATGACTCATTGCGCTACGCGGATTCATTGTTTCCTGTGTTGGAGAGAATAATCCTTTCGATGAGACAAGCGTAACATCGAGAGATGAGCTCAAAGCTATGAAAAAAAAAACAGGATCTTCTAACGAAAGCTCATCAGTCGCTTAATTAAACGCCCAGACATATATATATATATATACTCCTACAAAATCTTCATCGTTTCATTCTTCCGGAAGAGATGGCAGATACGCGCAAGAAACAACAACGGTAAACACGAAATAGACGTGAACGGAGGAAGGTGAGAAGGTACTCGAGGTAAACGTAAACAATTCCCAGTACAATTAGGAAACGTTTGTCCGCCTGTGTTTGTTGAAGGATCAGTAACCAGCTTGGGTAACGCCTAACTATCTGTCACTGGGCGACGATTGCTCGGTCATGCGGAGAATTTACGGATGATTTGTAACGCACGGTAAGGGTAGCAGAAAGGCGACACAATGAGAAGAAAAATCGATAATATCATATAATGATTCGATTCATTGATGAGACATTTAGTCGTCTATTATTATGACATTACGCAATTTATTGTGAACGGTTGATTTAAATCTTATCTCGCAAATGTTATCATGAAAATCGATTTTTATTATATCGATAACTATCATAGGCCGTAATCATGTGCAGAGAATTGATATCTGTATAATTTAATAGTTTAAATTATAGTAGTTAAGATTATGTGATAATCCCAGGATACAGGAGGTAGAGTCTCGCAGT